AACCTCAACCAATGGAAACGACAAGAAATTCGAAGCAAACAACCCATTGGTCAATCACTTGAAGTTCACGTGCAAAACAGAAATTGCGCCCAAATCAAGTGAGCCACTTTTGGAAATTCAAACGATATAAAAATAAACGTAGACAGCCCCAGACAGCCAGTCTCACGAATTCGCAGAGTACTTTTCAATATACTCCACGCCACTACGAACCACAATTTTGCCGCGCACGAAGATACATCGCTGACTCATATTCGATCATTCATTAATCAACTCTGTGAACACTTTTCTCAACTTTGCTTATGTACAGTGAATTAAATTCACTACTTTAAAATAAGTAAACATCAACGAACATACAACATTACGAAAACATCAACTACGTTTAAGGGTAGATCACTCTAAAAAAAAAAAAAACTCTTTTCAAAAGACACTTATAATTCACAATTATTGACACAAACAAAAAGACAGTGAATCAACGAACAATATCAACAAAGAGACATTCACAAATCTAACAATTACACACACATTTTGTCCACACGACACACACTGATTATCCAATCTGTACATTGTTAAATTGTATATAAATGTTGCATTGATTTCTAAATTGCATGTCTCGTTTTCAATTACATTTTGAATTTCATTTATTTATTTGTTTGGGATGCAGCAAGACACGCAACCAACTCAAAATTCCTTCTGATTCTTTCTTAAATAATTAACAACTCTGCACGTCCCCAACATGCTAATAGCTGCTTTTGCAGCTCTGTGTGCTTAGTTCCGGAGATGACCTGCTCGAATAAACGTCCCCCGGTGTCAATGGCACTTGTTCGCTAGCAACCTGCACCTTGTTATAAAATCGACACTTTCTGTATCTCTTTGTGTGTATAGACAAAGGTAAAAGTGAGCGACGCGTAAGTTTACTTGAGGCTCTAATGATTCCTCGAATTTCCACCAAATAACAACAGAATGTAGTCAACCTGTTTATCGGCAGGAATGTTTTCTCACAGAGAAATAGAGCTTACAATGCTGTTTGAAAAATCTGAATGAATCAACCAGATTTGTTGAAGTCCAGCACATTGTTAACTCGCATACGTTATTGTTATTATGATTATTATTATCCATTACGAAAAACAACAAAAACAATTCAAACAAGTAGAATGCAGTTACAAGATGTTTAAAAACACTTGTTTGTTCCAGTGAAACACTTTTCTCTTTATTTTTTTCGTACTATTTTAATAATAATAATAATAAATGCAAATAGCAGGAGCTGTGAGTTTTAATTTCTTTTGCCAAAAAAGGAAAAGAAGTCCATTCGACTTGAAAAAACCTTTTTCTTATTGTTTGGTAGCCTACTACTTGCTTGCTGCGAATATTTTCATTTTACCGCTGCCTCCATGTAATATTTAAATAAGACAGGAAACACCTGTATAAGTTTCAAGGGCAAGACGCCATCTTTTATTCTTGGTGTGGGTGTGAGCCCTAGACTAAGGGCGATAACTCTTAAGGAGTTATTTACAAGTTTAGGTTTTTGAGTGGGGTGTAGAAGGTTCAGTGATGGTTTAAGAACGAGGTTAAGGTGGGAAGGGTTGAGAAGCAGACAAGGGGGTGGGGGTCCATGTATGCGAATTTTTTTTTTTTGCTTTACGTTTATTTATTTCCGGTTTTTATTTTCATATCCATACTTAATTTCCTTTTCTTTTGAATGTGATTTCAGAGGGTAAAGACTAAAATGTCGTTTATATCGATACTAGTATTAATAATTGGTCAGATTTCATTTATGATTTATTTCGAGTCATACTTACTCAACAGATAGCAAATATTTTCAAATATATGTGTAGGCCAGTTAATTGAGTAGTTAGCTTATTTTCCTTTTTAAGTTCTGGTTAGGCCTTTGAATTTAGTTGGTAGGTCATGAAGTGGAGAAGGAATGTCAAATAAATAGTACAATTTTGCAAAGGCTGGTTTGCCGGTCTTGTAGCTGCTTTAAAAATGTAAGTTAGCATAAATGGGGGATAGAAATATATGCATGTAAGTACATGCATGTATGTAGACGTGTGGCTGCACAATATATTCATGTATGGAAAGGAAAAAGAAAATTCCTCATAGAATTTCGCTTCCTCAAGCGTATAAAAAGGTGAAAAAAACGTTTGTGATAGTAAGAATGGCGAATACATTTTTTGCTTTTTTTTTTTTTTTTTTTTTAGAAACGCTTGTACAAGTTGTAAGACTAATTTTTGGCGAAACATAGGTGCTAGTATAGATAATGATAGATTTGGGTTGGGTACGCGAGAGTTTAGTTAATAGGTTAGTAATGTTAAGGGACTAGTTAGTAATTTAAACCGAATAGAAACTACACAATCAATCTCAACAGTTACAAATCCAGGGGAAGTAACTCAAATCGAAACAGGAGGAAGTAAAAAGATACCAGTATTTAGGAGGGGAACGTGAAAACCTTTTCTCATTGGCTAACACTGGCGGACGTACTTCCATAAGAACGGCCGGATTACTGGTTGTGTCGGTCGTTGTGATTTTGCAATGTCGAGGTGTGTATGACAACGCTTTGAATGAGGCGGTTTGACTTGGCTGGAGTTGTTGTTTGAGCTGATATGATGCAAAGTATATATCATGCACATTACAGGTCTTCAGGTGCTGAGTATAGACTGGATGTTAATTTAAAAAAAAAAAATCTGGTTATCATAATGATGAGATATATATATATATATAATAATGATAATAATAATGGACTCTCCTGTCGGTTTCGACGTTTCAGAATCTGAAATCTTAGTTAATTCAATTATGAAATTTTGTGAGATAATCTTAAGTGGCACTTACAAAAGAGGCTGCATATGGAGCAAGAGTAAGGATTGTGGGATGAGATCACTGTGAGATTGGCTGACATTTTAGATCTTGGTCTCGCTTCTTGAAGATGATTTAAACAAGCAGATTGAAAACTGCTGAGTCCACTAAAACATGTTGATCTCCATACTACCTGCTCCAAATATATATATAATATATATATTTGCGATAGAAATAATCTGTAAAAAAATGTTATAGAGTTTAATGTAGTTAGTTTTAAGTATAGCTAAAATAACTGATTTAAGGCATTACTCTAAATCAGTTGGCAAATGTTTTCTGTGAACTGCAAAATCGCATTACCCTTTGTATTGCTAATGATAGAGGACATATTTAAACTTAAATTAAATTTCAATGAACTTTAAAAAATATAGATATACTCGCAAATAAAAATAAAATTATAAATTTTTTTTTAAGTGCACACGAACTTTATGGACACCCTGTGTGTGGGTGTATATATATTCACACACACACACACGTACATATATAATATTATAATTATACTCGTCTGGAAAACAATTAGGTGTTTTGGCTTGTAATTAAACAAACCAATAAGGGAAAATAAGGGATTAAAAAAAAAAAAAAAAAGAAGAACTAAGAACATGTAATCGAGGCGAAAATAATCATCCAGAATCCAAGCTCAGAGTACAAAGAAAAAAAACTCCAACACGAGTAAAGCAAAAGTAACTAAATAAAGTGCTCAATACAGTAAGTAGAGCAAATCTAACTATGAACCTAAAGAGCCAGGCAAACCTACCTAGGTTTCAACTATGCAGATCTTCAGGGTACACTGGCCAGTGTACCCTGACAATCCACGTAGGTAAAATCTAGGTAGATTTGCCTGGCTCTTTAGGTTCATAGTTATATTATAATATATTTGATGCATGTTTCATTAAATATAGACAAGTTGTCTATTTTATGCAAATTCCTTTCATATCATCTGATAAGCTTAATAACATGGTTAATAAAACATGCATGAATGAAAAATGCTGCTAAAATACACACACACACATATATATATATATATATATATATATATATATATAAAAAAGAGAGAGTGTTTAATATATCTATCCCCAAGCAAGAGAAGACATGGTGTAAAACTACAGCTCATAGCAATTACTTTTTAAAAAAGTGCTCATTACAAAGTACAACAGAATATTATAATACATTCTAAGAACACTTTAGTTCGCTATACAAAAGCTTTCATGTTTCAATACCATCATCGTTCGTCAGGTGATAGTAGATCTTGTTATATATATATATATATATATAAATAAATAAATAAATAAATAAATAAAAGAGAAATAAAAGAAAAAGTATTGTTTAAACTTTTATTCTTTCTTAATTAACAAATTGAAAACTCTTAAATAGTAAAAGTTCCTGTATATGAAAATCTCGATTTAAAAAAAATTAAAAGATAAATTTAGCTCCTGCAGTATCAATTTGGCTGAAACTTGAATTTCCACCTCCTCCACAGCTTCCTGGAGGACCACGTTCATTAGGATCAAAGTCTCTCTTGCGCTTGTTTCCTGTTGACAATGTAATTATGCTATCCTCTTCCTGAAAATGTAAGTATTTAATCATTTAAATATTTAATCATTTGTAAAAATCAATTAAATGTGGCAACAGTAATAATTAGAAATCTAAAAATGATTTTAGAAAATTTGTTATTTACAAATGCCTTCCTTACAAAGGAAGGCATGTATTTAAATAAAGAGGAGGGGGTGAATTAAAGAGACAAATATCCTAAGTTCATAGAATGTAGATGGAAGCTTCATTTATGCAAATGAAGCATGTGAAAAATAAAATATTAAATTATCTGGGGATTAAAGAATTATTACAGGATTTAATCCAAGCTTTCTAGAATAAAGGAAAGGTGTAAACATTTTCAATTATAAACTTCAGATTAAACTAAGTGCTTTCAATTTGGCAAACAACTATCAAGAACCTTTAAGTTTTAAAAAAACCTTGAATGACTAAAGATAAATTTACTTTCATTCTATAGAAATAATTTATTTTAAATCAAAAAACAGTTAATTACAAATTTTTTAAATTCTGAATAAATACAAAGTCAATATTTTCATAAGTTTAGAGTATACAGAAATGAAACTTACATTTCTAATGTCAAGAGGCTGTGATTGATAAAAAGCATATAAGAAAGCAAAAACAAGTAAACTACTCCAAAATTTTTTTTTTTTTATCATTTCACCAAGTAAGGCAATAAAACTACTAAGATATAAAGGTGTGAAAGAATAAGAAAACATTAATGAGAATAAGATGAAGAAAGAAAACAATAGATAGCAATTGACATTGATCTTAAAAAAATTTAAGTTAAGAAACTGGAAGAGTTCCACAAATGAGAAGTGCGATTGAAGTAACTTAGCATAGAACTTACAGTTACATCTAACCATGTGAACTATAAGGTAGGACCTTGCTGCCAATCTAGTACTGCACCTAAATTTATAACGTCTGGGTACCATTGAGGAAAGTTCATCAGAATAATTGCTATGAAAGTATTTATAGAAAAGTTAGAGGGAAGTCACATTATGGCTGTGGGAAAGTGACTGAAGCTGAGATGACAAGTAAAGATCAATGGCATTGCAGATGCTGGGGATTTTATCAAGAGTCTGTAAATATATAGTTAAGTGTCAAAGTAGATGTGGCAGCAATATTCAGGCACAGATGAATGGTAGATTTATAAAGGTATAAAATTGATGCTACTAAGAAAAATTGTCTGGCATGATACAGTAAACCAACTTTCTGAGTAGTAAACCTAGCAATTGATTCAATATAGTCTTTCCATTTCATGTCAGTAGAAACATTAGCCTGGGAAGTGCAATGAGTCACTCTCCTGAAGGCTAGCATCAGCCATGCTAATGGGAGTGGCAGTTCAATTAAAAAAAGCAGTTTTGTTTTGGAGTATTTAAATATAAACAAACCATTCATTGGTTCAGTTAACAGATTGTAGGCTATTTATTTTCAAGCAAAAAAAAAAAAAAGTATAATATGTGTAAAATTACAATGTCTTTCATAAAGAGATTACATTAACAGTATCATATGAAGAGTCAAAAATAAGATCAATTCTTTAATTCCATAAAGATTACCGGTTATATCTTGTGCAAAAAGAAAGAAAAGGACAAAGATAGCTTAGAAACCAATTCAATTTTGTTAGATTTGTAAAACAACATCAAGGAAGAAATTTCTTCTCACGTCTGGCCAAATGTGTTTTGGTAAAAGGTATACAAACATGGAAAACATTTGAAATTAGTAATAGTCCATTCCTCCCATAAATACTTATTTTTCAATAAAGGCCAGCAGGCTGGGAGAAGAATGAACATTTTGTCAGACAACTGGTTCTTTTACCTTTTAAGCAGAATTTAGCTGCTACCTTGTTCTGATGATAATGAGATTGCCCTTCTAATATAAGAAATATTGCTTAGTTGCTAAAATTTGTTATTACTTACCAGAGTGAACTGCTGATTAATAAATATTGTATAATTAATATAAATAAAATTGCTCCCAACCCATGCTCAAAACAAAAAATAAAACTAAAAATTTGGTTTTAAATTAAAATGAAAAGCTTATGTACAAACTTTGTGGAAAGCAGCATTGTCTTTCCTGATTTCCATTTTGAACCTCCCTGGAATAAAATTCTGGTCCTGTTCCAAAGTTATCTGTGGTCCAACTGCATTAGATATCAATTTGTTATCAATCATTCTATAGATGAGCAAATAAGGAGTATCTTGTGGGTAATTGCCGAGTTTTTCTGAAGACATAAATTCTGTATAAGTTACACGTTCATCATTGAAAAGGTACCATTCATCCTTCAGAATATCTCCTAACTTGAATGGGTTTAAATTAACAACAGATGATTGCCTACCAAAACAATAGTAATGACCACTGTCACTACTACTCCCTGAATGAATAATCACTGAACACAGGACATAAACCACAAACATTGATCCATGATTAAGTCTATCAACAACCGGTATTGAAATTTCTATAGGATATTTTACTTTGTCCATGATCTTTACTTTTTTACCAAGTATATTGTCATAGGAAAATCTCATCAAAATCAGTGTCAAATATTGTGGAGGCTCAAGTATTTCAACCCATCGCTTGCCATTTTGAAGTGATTCACAATAAGCACAATAGATTTGGTCTGTATTGGACATTTCTTCCGGTTGAAAGTAATGTTCAAGTAGTGATGTTAAATTGTATTCATGTTCATTATTTGCTGGGATTGCCAAATTGATTGTTGTGAAAGAATCTTCATTTTGAAGAAAAGTTTCACAACATTTATTGCAGTGAAACAAATTCCTTATTTTCCCAGTAAAATAATGAGCAAGGGTTTTGTTAGTAGGATTGGCTGGCTTCATGCCGTTTTGTTCTTCATCTAGTTTTTGGATCAGAAACGAGAAGAATTCCACGCAGTCTTGTTGTTCGAATGCATTAAACCAAGTTGGTTTGGATGCCTGATAGAAAGACTTTGGAGAAATTGCTGGTCTCTGCATAAAAAAAATAAAATAAATAAATAAAAAAAATAATAAAATAAGAATTTTTACATAAATGAAATAAAAGTTAAATTAAATACAAGATTAGATTTTACTTTTAAGTGTTGATAGTCATCTCAGTTTACATTATTAGAAGTGCAATCAAAAACAAACAAATGACAGGTTAAGTTAAAAAAAAAAAAAAAAGGTGGGGGTCAAAGGTTAGTTTTATCTCCAATGCTTACTACTGAGGGTTATAATTTTACATCAAGCAATCATTTCTATCTGACTTTGTAATATTTACTCAAATTACATTATTGGTACTGTAAAAGGAATTATTTTAACAATACTTGAGGTTGAGCATACCTAAATATCTCTCACTGCACTCCTATCACAAACCAAGTGGAAACTGCAGAAAGACATATCTAAAAAGTAAATACCAATAATGGTAAAACTTTATGCTTAACTATAGTGGAAAATATTTCCACTGACTTTCTCATTGTAACCATGAGTGTTTTCACATTTTTTTACATTTCATGTTTCGCTCTTCTGCTTGGTTGCTTTAAATATTAAAAGCTTTCATTTATTTTTTGTATTTTATTAATACTACCTGCTAAAATAGGTGTGCATTTTTTATGCTGTCAAATATGGTATATATATATATAGGAGGAAAAAAAAAAAAAAAGAAAGTGATAAGTGAGTGATTAATAGCAATGTTGACAAATAGGAAGCTTACAAATAAGGTTTATACAGGTCCTTAGGAAGTATTACAAGTGCTTTTGAAGGTTATGTGAGCATGCACATGTAACATTTCAGATATAACTAGAAATGTCTATTAAAAAAAAAAAAAAAAAAAAATTTAAAAAAAGAAAATTATTATTTTTTTTTTTTTTTTTTATAAATACTTGTTGCAAAGTTTTCAAAGTATACAAGGATCGAATGTGTTCAGCTTTGATAGGTTTTCATTTTGTCCAGTCATTATCATGTGATTAATTCAAATTACATATACACACACGTGTGTGTGTGTGTATAGCTTATATAAAAAGAATTAAATACCAATGTTAATGCGATTAATGGCAAAATCACTTTGCTAACAAGATTTAATGAGACATTAACTTACTATCAATTCCTTGAATAATAAGATCCTTATATTCAAGTTGTCAGATGGAAGACACTTGCCAAGTACTTTTGAAAATTATAATTGTCATCTTCAGGGTACAATTCCCGCCCCACTCCTACATAGGCAAACACCAAGATGAAATATGTGTAGACCGAAAGGTTTTTTAAATTAATTCTATTCGAGATTTGAAAATGTGTTTTGGAGCAATCAAGTAAGAATTTTATATTGATAGTAAGTTAAGGTTTCATTAAGTCTTGCTATCTATGTGATTTTGCTATCTTATGTGATTTTTGCCATCACATTAACATTATATATATATATATTATATATATATATATATATATATATATATATATATATATATATAAACAATTGTTTATAGGAAGTGGTAATTTTGCATTATTTGACAGAAAACAAAAATCTGACACTTTTTGGGGAAACAATATTTTTGTATTATCTTAATTATAACCAAATAATTTTACTTAAGATTTTAATAATCGATCAATAATCGGTTACAGTCGGAAGATTGATTATATATATATATATATATATATATATATATATATATAAACCCAAAAAGGGAGGTAATTCTAGCATACAGAACAAGGTAGATAATTCTAGTATAAGAGGGAGCAACAAGGGAGGTAATTCTAGTATAAGAGGGAGCAATAGGGGAGGTAATTCTAGTATACAGGAGTGGTGGAGATTAATTAAGGGAGGTAATTCTATTATACAGTAAGGGTAACTGAAATCTTACCTGGCTGCTGAGAAGAAAACTAAACAGTCTTTGCATCTCGTATAATAATATCTTTTTACTACTCGGTGACAACTTCAATAAATGACGTCTAAAGCTGCAAAAGAAAAAAAAGCATCAAAACGAGATAAAATATGGCTTTAATAGTGATTTTAGCAAATCACAAGTGAAGTCAGTTATAAGTTTATTCTGCATCAAAAGAAGCAAGTTTCTCTCCTACAGCAAGTAACTTGTATTGGCTTAAGTCACTTGAAAGAAAAAAAGAATAGTTGTGACTAATCTTAAATATTTACTGTAATTTGATAAACTCAAAATTTGTTTTTAGACCATTTTAAAAATTCACTTTCAAACACTATTTGTTAAAAGTTGGCTGACATAATAATGGCTACTGTAAGAATTGTCACTTTTCATATAGACATCAAGATAATAGGTAATATGATTACATTTAAGCATTTATTTGAGGAAAACTAAAATATCAAAACATTTGCTATTTTCTTTGAATTTTGAGGCTTTTGTCTTAATGTAATTTTTTCCCCACTGACAAAATATATGAAAAATATTTCAGCAACAAAGTTTTATAGCAGTGTATTGCAACATTTGTTTAATGGCCATTTTTTCCCCTCTTGAATGCCCACCCATCAATAATTTCAGAATTAATGGATTATGTTTAAATGATATTTAAGTTTTAACTACTCAGACTATGAACAAAAGATAAATGGAACTTGTTTCTATGGATAGTCATTTATTTGATTTATAACTTCAACCACAAGTTCAGATACCTGCTAGCAATAATCTTGTGTATCCACATGTCATTCACAAAGTATCAAATAGGAAATGCACTACACATTGAAGTGTGTGTGGTATACTATGATTACAGGTAAATAGACATTAATGACATGATGGATAATCCAGCCCTACACACACAAAAAAAAAAATTATATGGACGCCCAACCATCACAGCCAGTTAAGCATCCACTGGTTTAGAGTTTAACTTCATTCCTTTAGATCAACTTACTCATCAAGGAGAAAGAGAACCTGAACAGTGCAATTCATATAACAAGTGTTTGACAAGTTGTAAAGACCAAGCCTCTTTGTAGGTGACATTGACAAAAATTCTCGAGTACTCCAGGACAAGACTACAGGAGTTGAAGAGCCCCAACATTTACTTGAATATTTTTCAATCACTGCTTTGATGAAAGTTAAAGCTGGGGTTGGAGTTTCCTGGAGAGAAAGGAAAATACCACAATTTAATTAGGATATGTAAAACAGTGAAAGACATTTATGATTTCAATTATAATATTGAAATGAACAAGACTTCATGGTTGATCAAAATTTGAATTTAATATTACAATGCAAAAATTGGCATAGTAAGAATAAATTATTACTAGTTAAAGTCAATAAAAATGAAAGAGAAAAAAAATTCTAACTTACCATAGTAAGCTTTAATACAGGTTCATAAAGATCAGGGAAACCTGAATGAATATACATTTGTATATGACATAACTCAACAAGATCTCTTAAGCATCGGGTACTGGAGATACTATTTTCTGCTTTCAATTCTGTAAAGACTTCAGGAAACAGCTTTATAATCTGAAAATAAAATCACAACATTAAATTTTGTATTATTGCTTGGTGGCAGAGATAGAATTGTCTGCAATTTAACATTTCTTGAAATGGTAGATAAAAAAATTACCTTGTGGAAAGGAGCTGGATTATGATGACATCTTAGTAACATGTGAGAAAAAATTTTTAAGGCCTCATCTCGAGAAAGCACAATTTTCAAACAGTTAAATAACTGGAGGAAAAAAAAAAAAATTCAAACGTATTATTTTTTTTTTATTTTGTTTTCAAAAGACAAAGTTTTTAGAAAAGAATTGAGAAAAGTAACCTAATTCAACCAAACAGGTTCTTTACTATTCAATTGCATAAGTATTTGGAAACTTAAGTTTGTCAACATTCATAAAAAGAAGTGTCAACAGCTGAGTGTTTAGGGTTGACAGGATGGTTGTATTATAAGTTAATGAAAACTTTTACAAAATACTTCATGTCCTTAAAAAAAAAAAAAAAACATAGCAAAATATAAAATATTTAAATATTTCATAATTTTTTTTAATTACACAATCTATACATTTTCACACTAAAAAGTTAAAAACAAAACAATTTATTTTCCAATGTAGCTCTTTGTGCAAATTCTTTCATTAATCCTTCAATACATTAATAAATATTAGGGCACTTTATTTCTCAAAATAAAAAAAAAATACAAGACTTATCTAGGCATTAAAACCAAAACAAGTAAAAATTTTACAAGAACAAGTTACATACAAATTTAGTCACTAGTAAATTTTTCTATATACATTTGTACTGACAAAATTTAAAAGGCCTTATACTTACAAATTCAATATTTTTCTCTGTTAATTCAATCAATATATCATATTTTTTCATGAATTCAAGTTCTTCAAAAATAGCAATAACCCAAATATCAACATGTTTTGATGTTGGCCACTGAAGCCAACTCATCATTCTTATCAAAGCATGACTAATATGAAGGTTTCCAATATTTGACATCTGAGTAAGATTGAATGTCTCACCAACCATTTTTAAAGGAAGGCAAGATATGACACTACCAAGACATTGTGATGGCTCAATGTGAGGAGATGATATAACAGTAAACAACTTTAACAAACTTTCTTCAACTGTTGATGCATCTCCTTCATGCCAAGTATGCTTTAGAAGATCAGCAATGAGACTTATTTTTTGGAGAAGGTAAATTCTATCACTGTAATTTTCTGGAATTTCTGTTTTACTGAGAATGTCAATTGTGATTTTGCTGAAATCAGTAATTCTTTCTTGAGGAATACATTCCTTAAACTTGTTTAAAATCTGCACCAAAATAAAGAGGCATTCCAAGTTAAGATTTCCCTCCAAGAAGTTTATGCAAAGTTTTGAAAATCTTTCTGATAGAATAGAGTAACAAGGAGTTTTTTCAAGAACTGTTAAAGTTTTATCAATAAGGATGAGGGCAACATTGGGGTTTTCATATTTTTCAGTCATTAGATCAATTAAAAAATCAACCGTGAAGAATTCTTTGACAACAGGAACATGGTACTTTGCCCATGTAGAATATAGATGGATTCCAGAATGAATTTGAAATTTAGTGCTACCATGCAGTGACCATTGCACTGAAAGTTCCAGGATAGATTGGACATTGTGTAAGTCCTCTTCTTGCTCGGCTTGATTCATAATTCTCTGAATTAGCCTGTCTTTCAAAGGTTCAGGATGGTTTGAAATCAGGATGCCTTGTAGTATTTTATCCATTTTAAATCTGAAAATGGAATCAATGCCAAAGTTAGAATTATTAAAAGAAAAAAGAAAAAGTAAATTAAGAAAGGATCCATAAGAATTTTATGGAAAAAGATAATTATTTAATTTCCACTTCATTTACTACTTTTATAAACAAGCAGTAAATAAAATTGGAAAATGACATTTCAGCATAAAACAAATAAAGAAAATAAAAAACTTCATATCTTATAAAACATTGTACTAAATAAAAAATATACCTGAAAATTGTGCTTAAGAGAAACCAATTAAAAAATTTTTAAATTTAACTTTTAGCAGAATCCGTAAATACTTGCATATTTTTCCTTTTAAAAAGTATACATTGTTTAATAAAGGATTTTTGATAATTATTTCATAAAAACTGAACAAGATTAAAAGTTCATATTTATATAAACGGCACATCAATTATTTTTTCAATGAAGTGGGGGGGGGATTTATATACAAGAATTATTTCCCACCCCTCTTATAATAGGAAGAGATTGCTTTGCCTGTAGTTCAGTTCAGAACAGAAGGGTTTATTCCTTGTTTCCTGTTTAGTTCCTTCTGAAGTCAACTTCCCCTGTAGTTTTAACATCTCTGCCTGACTGAATTGTTTTTCACTAATTATTTTTTTTCTCCTCTCCAACAGAAGTACCATCTGGTTCATACTTTTCTCTGGATTTTTTGAACAGGAGTAACAGTTCATCCCTAGTTTCCTGCTTAGGATTGGGTTTCAAGTTCCTTCTACTGTACTTCTGATGTCTCCAACTGAAATTTTATTTCTCCCCTAATAGATTCACAGTTCTTGGTTTCCTGTCCCTTCTAAAGAGAGGGTGAGAATACAGACACAAATCTCCAGAAAGAAAAGCCTAAATCAAAAACTAAACCGCAGGTACAAAGCTGCCATTTCATCCTTAGTCTACAATTAAGACATGGACCTTCTGTTAGTAGGACATTAGGCAGTTTGAGCAACTGTCATCAAAACCTTGGGTTAACTATGGAAATTAACTGGAAGGATTATTTTTATAATTTTGTAACCACTGAGAAAGCTCAAATCAATGGCACTGAAGCCACCATCAGGAATCACTTTCAATGGACAGTGAATGTGCTCTGCAAGAATTCATTGAAGAGAAGACTATCAATCGGCAATCTGACATTAAACTACACAATTACATTGCTCGGACTATCATCCTCATCTTTGTTGCCATATTTATCACAACATTTCAGCTGTTGTATGCTCCAGCCTTCTTCAGGTAGTTGGAATGTTGAACTGAACCCTTTATTTTGCTTGCTGGGGTAGACTGTTCTAGTTCCATGTGCAATGTCTAATGGATGTCAGTTATCTTCTGTTAATTCCCCTCTCAAAGTTCTCCACCACCTTAACCAGGTATTGAACTAGCTGTTTGGTTCCTGTCACTGGATCTAACTAATGCCTTTATACACTGTGCCATGTGTCCTTGAGGACACATGGCACAGTGACAGGACCCAAAGAGTGTGAGTTTAGTTCAACATTCCAACCACCTGAAGAAGGCCAGAGCATACAATGGCCGAAACGTGATAAATATGGCAACAAAGATGAGGATGATAGTCCAAGAAATGTAAATAGTGTACATAATACCTCATCTCAAAAATATAGACAGATACTGACATTAAACTAGTTTAATAAGATTTTGTCCCCACCCTTACCCCAAACAAGAACAATATACAAACAGGACACACAGCAAAGACAGGCAGCTTGGCAATCCAACAATGATTGGCTACACTGATCAGTGGATGAATGTTCCATGCAAGGATTTGATTTGCAAGCCACCAAACTTCATTAACATGGGAATGAAATACTTGCAAAAAGAGAGTGTGTGTGTGTGTGTGTGTGTGTGTGTGTGTGTGTGTGTGTGAGTGTGAGAGAGAGAGAGAGAGAGGCTAAAGATTTGTTTTGAAAAATCAACCAGTAGCTTTCATTGGGTTTAAACAAGAACTAGTAAACAATTCGGTATCCCTAAATGGTTTACATAAGAGGCTTAAAGCAGTGAATGTGAGCGAGTATGCACACAATACCCAAGTTTAAAAATGATTCTTGAAAACCATTTTAGTTTTAAGGTAATAAATTGAATATTCCCAATAGGCAAATTTTAAACCAAATTTACATAGGAATTTACCCTTCTACATATCAGTAAAATATCTAAATTTGTCAATATTAAACAAATGTATCAATACAAAATAATTCATTTTATTAAAAATAAAGAATAAACATTATTTGAGGGAAATTAGGCAATTCTCTTTTGACCTACCGCGGGGCTGTTGAGTAATTTGATAAAGTTGAGGGGTCCCGGAATTGAAAAATTACTTACAGTTCAATGAATACATGATTTTTTTTTTTTTTTTTTTTTTAACTATCTTTAAAAATTAAAATGTTTTGAGCAATGTAATATTTTAGTAAATTAAGAGGTACTTTGGCTTTACTTCTTATTGTTTGATAATGACAATGTGATATATAGACATCTAGGGATGGAGATGTAGTTATCTCTCAGTTGAATGTGTTTTTGGGTAGAGTGCGCTCAGGGGTGGCTCTGTCAAAAGGAGGAAAATTGTACTGAGAGATTCCCAGCCCTGGGAAACAGCTTCCCAAGGCCCTGCCCTCTTATCACATTAGTGAAAGAGGAATCAGTGTTCGCACCAAGGCCAGCGCAACGAACAGTTAGGAAATTTTTGTTCCTAGACCTGGTGTATGTGTATGATCTCCTAATGTGACTGCATTTGGGAAGAGTAAATACCAAATTACTATAGAGCTGGGGCTTTTTAATCTTTAATTCGTGGGAGAATTGAGCTCCAATTTCACATTTATTCATATAGATTCCATAATATAGGTTTTACTTAATTAGCTATTATGTTTCTCTAACTCTTCAAATGTTTAATGTATAACTAATTCTAATTTTTATTAGGATTGGAATAACACTCTCACACACATACAGGTGTATGTATCGTAATTCACACAAACACACCCATACAAGCAATCTGAGGTTAGGTACAGATAGATATCCAGGTATTTGAGCATACATATGTAATCGTAATTCTATTTCAGTGTCAAGACTGTAGCATTTATTACATGTAGTAATGTTCTTTCAACAGGTATACAGTGTGTGTGTGTGTGGGGGGGGTTCTTGACCCTTTTCAGATTGACCTCCCAAACACAGAAAATTCCCCCTCCCACCACCGAACATAAACAAGCACAAATAGATGTAATTTTAAAAAATAAACCAGTTTGATGATTGCAAAAGTGTGAAACCCAGGGGCACAGACTCATATCCATACAACTGAGATAGAGAGAGATTATATATAACACAATTTTTGTTTTTTTTTCCTTTTTTGCACACCAAGTCTAGTGATTCTCATTAGGATATTTTTCAAATAAAACCAAAGTTTAACTTGCTTAAGGACATTTAAATCAAGTTCTTGGAATGAAAATATGATTTTGAAATCTGTGGCAGTACCCAAAAACTTTTACTAATTTAATTTTTAGTATATGGTATTTATTATTATTATTTCATTTCTACTATTCAGGTCCAGATTTTCTACAGCTTTCCTCTTTGACCCAAACTGCATTTAAATTCTGAGGCAAGCAATACAAAGAATTATCATGATGAAATAGAAATGTATGCGCTTAATGTAGAAATTCTCATTTAATGCAGAAATCGAGAAAATTTTATTATGGTAATTTGTAATTATCTGATTTTTTTTTTTTTAACAAGAATTTCTAAATATACGTGTTTTTCGCCGCAAAAATTTTTTTTTCGCGTACAAATTTAAGTTCCCGCATTGACGGAAAGTTGTATATAAAAAAAATAAAATAAGTAATTAAAATTAAAAAAATAATTTACACTCAAAACAAAATTTTGTACTCAACTTGTTTTTATCCTGCTTGATGTGCAGCCTTTTTTTGCAGAAAGGAAATCAAACGTACATTTTACACATTGGAAAAGAAAGGGCACTCAATTTCAACCAACTGATTTTTTGTTTTTGTTTATTAAGACACTTGTGACCTTGTGCCAAACTTTAGCCGGAATGTTTTGGATACCTCACCGCGGCGCAATGTTTAAGCTAGTCTTGAAGATTATCGAGAGAGAGAGAGA